AGATCGCGAGCGGAAGCGTTCAAAGAACGGGGATGAGGGAGTTGTACTCGACGTGATCCAAATCACCGGAGATCCTAGCGCCGAACGGACGGCACCTCCGCGTTCAACACACGTACAGTCAGCGTGACGTCTCCTCCTTCTTGATCCAGCAAGGGGGAAGGAGAGGTTGATGAAGATTCAGCAGCACGACGGCGTGGTGGTGGATGCAGCAGTCACCGCAGCAGGGCTTCGCCGTTCTCTACGGAGGAGGAGGAGGTCTTGGAGGGGAGAGGGAGGCGCCAGGGGCATGGGGTGCGGCTGCCCTCCCTCCCCCTATATATATAGGGTCCCCAGGGGGGCCGGCCCTGGAGATCCAATCTCCCAAGGGGGCGGCGGCCAAGGGGGGTGGAGTGCCCCCAAAGGCAAGTGGGGCGCCCCCCACCCTAGGGTCAACCCTAGGCGCAGGGGGAAGGCCCAAGGGGGGGCACACCAGCCCACTAGGGGCTGGTTCCCCTACCACTTCAGCCCATGGGGCCCTCCGGGATAGGTGGCCCCACCCGGTGGACCCCCGGGACCCTTCCGGTGGTCCCGGTACAATACCGTTGACCCCGAAACTTGTCCCGATGGCCGAAATAGCACTTCCTATATATAATTCTTTACCTCCGGACCATTCCGGAACTCCTCGTGATGTCCGGGATCTCATCCGGGACTCCGCAAAACATTCGGGTTACTGCATATACATATCTCTACAACCCTAGCGTCACCGAACCTTAAGTGTGTAGACCCTACGGGTTCGGGAGACATGTAGACATAATCAAGATGGCTCTCCGGTCAATAACCAATAGCGGGATCTGGATACCCATGTTGGCTCCCACATGCTCCTCGATGATCTCATCGGATGGACCACGATGTCGAGGATTCACGCAACCCCGTATACAATTCCCTTTGTCAATCGGTACGTTACTTGCCCGAGATTCGATCGTCGGTATCCCAATACCTCGTTCAATCTTGTTATCGACAAGTCACTTTACTCGTACCGTAATGCATGATCCTGTGACCAGACACTTGGTCACTTTGAGCTCATTATGATGATGCATTACCGAGTGGGCCCAGAGATACCTCTCCGTCATACGGAGTGACAAATCCCAGTCTCGATCCGTGTCAACCCAACAGACACTTTCGGAGATACCCGTAGTATACCTTTATAGTCACCCAGTTACGTTGTGACGTTTGGTACACCCAAAGCACCCCTACAGTATCCGGGAGTTACACGATCTCATGATCTAAGGAAAAGATACTTGACATTGGAAAAAGCTCTAGCAAAACGAACTACACAATCTTGTGCTATGCTTAGGATTGGGTCTTGTCCATCACATCATTCTCCCAATGATGTGATCTCGTTATCAACGACATCCAATGCCCATAGTCAGGAAACCATGACTATCAGTTAATCAACGAGCTAGTCAACTAGAGGCTTACTAGGGACATATTGGTGTCTATGTATTCACACATGTATTACGATTTCCGGATAACACAATTAAAGCATGAATAAAAGACAATTATCATGAACAAGGAAATATAATAACAATCCTTTTATTATTGCCTCTAGGGCATATTTCCAACATTAACATCACGTAACTAGCCTATGTTGAAGTCCTTAGCTAGAACCCGACTTCATCAAGGATGTACTCAACATCGGTAAAGCACTCTCATGCTCCAAATAGAGGCCCTGCTTTAGTCTCAGTGAAGCACCCTCACACCCCGGGTGAAGGACCCGCTCGGGCTTGATGAAGCACCCTCACGCTCTATGTGAAGGCCCTACTCAACCGTGGTGAAACTCTAGGAAAAGATTTCGCTCATCCTCATACTCCAATTAATGCTCTAGTGCACTGAAGGCATCATCATATCGCTAAGTCGCAATATTGCAAGCCTAGCTCATCGAAAAGGGATTCTGCTCCTCCTCACACTCCAGTTAAAGCTCTCGTCGGTCATGGAAGAGGCTTAGGACCGAGCCAATGTGCCCTAGGCTCTCCCATTGGACTGCATAATCAAGTTGCATCTCAACCTTGGTTCCATTCCTAGGACTAGGTAGAAATTGTTGTAGTGTAGACAACATGTGAGCAAATGGTATCTCGTGGTTAGTGCTTGCGGAAATAAAGTCAGTGAGGGTGTGTGTACAACCTTATGGGAAGGCTATCCAACAACGAGACAAGGTTGACACATTGATTTATTTTGAACGGGTTCGGTCACCTCGTGGGAGCGTGGCTTAATCCTGTGTTAGGAGAGGCGGCAAAGGGAGTGTCTCAACTAGTAGATGAGATCCATGGTAGAGTTGTCTTGGAATTCCCCACGATGAGAGAAATGCTCAACTAGTGAATCGAGTCGAAGACAAATCCACCTAAAATCTCACATTGCCTTGACGATATTCGAGCCTCGCGAGGTGCCTTAGATACGTCCTGAACCTTAAAGCTCTTCTCAGGTCACTTGGAGGCCCCTCCCCTCGAGCTCTGTTCAAGTGAGAGGAACGGTTATACGCCCCTTCGGTGAGAGAAATATTGTAAAACCATCTTAGTTCCTCATGCCCTGGAGAATAATATACAATAGACCCTATGACATATTATTGTAAGTCCTATATGGAATATTCTTGTAAGTACTTATGGCATATTCTTGTAAGTTTACCCAAATATCCTTTAGTCATGTGAAGAAGACCAAGGGCATCACCGTAATCTGTATATGAACACGGGATGTAAATATGTTGAACTTTTCCAATAAATAGAGGCGCCCCTTATACCCAAGGGGGGCCTTTTATCTTCTCAAGACACTTTCTCCTTTCTTATGTCCTTGTCCCTCTTCACCTCCTCAGTGAAACTAGGTCTCACACTTCATCCCCTCTTGCATTGTCCTTTCACATCCTAGGTTGATCAATGTCACATTTGGATGACCCTCAAACCATGCGCAAGTCGAGGTCATGTGAAGTGCATGAATCCTCCTTCCTCTAGGTGAACGCAAGTCTCCTTAAGTTCTCGTAGTCATACGAAGGTAGCCTCATGGGAGCAAGGCTTGCAAGGTTGTCACACTCGACTCCCAAACGCACACTCATAGTCGGTTCACATAATCAAATTTGAGTGTCACAGATTCATTGTTTAGGTTTTCCTCGCTAACAAAATGGAACCATGGTTGGAAGAAATGGCACAACATGGACTACACATTATTTGGCAATGGGACCGGAGAGAGTCCCATTTCGGAGAGAGGTTAAGACTGGGAATCTTTGGTAGACCCATAGAGTTTCTGCTCCAACCACACATGTCATTTCATTTCCACCTCGTGATAGGAGCCATGTCGAATACAATGTCGCAAAATACTGCAAAGCACCGCAAAGAATTGCAAAGTATCATGTTTGAATTTTTTCCCCACAACACTATTCCTTTAAAATGGATGGCATCCTGGAGTAGAGCAGTGGCCCCATGGAGTTTTAAAAAATTACTCTAATGGTGACTTAGGAGAGAGAAAATTAGAAAAATACAAATATTCAAAAAAGGAAAATGTAAAGAGAAACAAGAAAAACGAGTATGCCTAGGTCTATTTTTAATGAGGAGCTACCGTTTACTACAAAAGGACACATGACAATGGATATGGTATGGTGCGGGTACAATAACCCAATACCCATATCCATGACTTGCATGGGCATACAATCCTACTCCTGCCCTAGCCATCGGGCACAAACCATGCTCATGCCCATCCCCAATAGGTATCCATGCCCGATGGGTACTCATCAGGCACATGAACACATCATTGTAGGGAATGGTGTAATTGCTAGGTCCATATGTGACGGAGGAACCACAACAAGTTCCTAGGGTTGGTGGAACGATGATTGAGAGGAGGATGGTGGCGGGGTATTGCAGGGGTATTGCGAGTAGAGCATGGAGAATGACCGCAGTATGACTGTCTAGTAGTGCTTCATAGTTATACAAATAATAACTTAGTTCTATGCCCTACCATGACTAGTCAGGCAGGATTCAGGCATAACCAAAAGTGTCCATGCCCTACCATGACTAGTCAAGTAGGGTTTGTGCTGTTGTGCATGCCCATGGGCACATATATGTGCTTATACTCTACCTATGTGGATCGGGTACCCATGGGTAAAATTGTCATCCTTCACACACCTCGCTTTAACTATAAGGCTCAACTCAAATTTCTTTAATAGCATAGCACTTATGCAAGGATTTGGGTAATCACCTTTTTGTCGGTCCACCAAATTACTCTAATTAAGTACTCTATGATGCCTTAATATTGTATTAGTTTTAGAAAATATATGTAGGGAAAATGTATGTACTCCCTCCGTTCCATAATTCTTGTCGTGGTTTTAGTTCAATTTATGTAATTATTTTACCTTTTCAAGGCAATAAAACACTTTATGATATAGGAGTATTTTTTAACTACTCCCTCGTTCACTATTATAAGATTCTTTCTGATTTGAATGTATATAGACATATTTTAGTGTGTTTGTTCCCTCATTTCAGTTCGTATGTAGTCCATATTGAAATATCCAAAACATCTTATATTTGTGAACAGAGGGAGTACCACATTTTACCCTTTCAGGCAAAAGAACTGACAAATCCTGGCAAATTCTGCCCCATCCATACAAGTCCTAGCAACAAAATCTGAAGTTATCTGAAATTTGCATATGCTGAAAGCGGTTATATCCATTTCAGTCAACAACACGCACAGATCGCTGTAGGCAGATTCAGCAAACCTGCAGTAAGCACGCAGCCCTCCCAGATCGCCCAAATGTTTTTCTGTAAACCTCTGCACCAGCTAAAAATAAAAGCACATACCAAATTGATTCCCTGTGCAAAACATTCTCCTTCTGAACGAATATTACACTACACATTACATCACGTTACAGGAAAACATAGACAGAATACCTCTGCAGCAGAAAAGCATACGTCCTACCAAAACCAGGCAAATCAAAATAGCCAATTATCTATATCCTCCTCCCAGTCCCACATCACAAGCAGCGTTTAGATGTGCAACACGCTCATATCCAGCTCCCCGCTCTCAAGAACCTCCCTAACCTTCTTGTCACACTCATCTTCTTCGTCAGTTTGTTCCGGTACACTGACCTTCGCGTTCTTTTCCTCATCATCCGATAACTCGTCCGCATAGCCATAGCCTGATGTGCTTGATCTTGGCTTCTTCCTTGCGTCTTGCACAATCTCCATGATCTCTTGGGTTGTTTGCTTCGAGAAAGAAGGCACGCTGCTGCTCCTCTCGTAGTAGTCTGCTTGCGCTTCCTCTGTGAGCTCCCGCGGCAAGTTCTTCAAGAACCATGGGTGGCTCTTTATCTCCTTCATTGTGATTCTCTATAGAAGATATAAAAAATGTCACATCAAAGCGGATTCACTCATGGACACGTCGATCTTGCAATCTGGAGAGTTGGGACCAGTACCTTCGTTGGATTGCTCACAAAGATAAGAGAAATGAGCTGTCTGCAATCAGCAGATATGAGAATATTGTCTGGGATGGTATAGTCGACTGCTGCTATCCGCTGCAAACAAAGATAAGCGATCGGCATTTGTGATTGTAAATTTTGGGTGGCGAAAGAACTTCTATAGGACTAGGCTATCACCTGAATGATCTTCTTAATATTCTTGGGGTCATCCGGGTCTTCAAATGGGTAGGCTCCCACAAGCATGACATAGAGAGTCACCCCACAGGACCATACATCTGCCATCTGCACTACCAAAATACACTTGTCAGCATTCAGTTACACCCTGTACTACTAAATATGTTTATCGATTGGATGACCTTCACCCACTTCCCTCTTCTTATTCTAAAGCCGTTTATGGAACTATGAATCAAGAGATCGTTGTACAGTACATCAGATTAATATGGCGTGGCCTCTTTCTCATTTTTTTTAAACGGAGGCAAGGCCTCTTTCTCATTTGGCAATCTGTAAAACAAAACAATCTAAGAGAAGACAGCAATAAACTGATTTTGGTCAACAAAGATAGGATCTACAGAACAATGATGAAAGAATGGTATCAATTTTTTTAAACGAAGGCAAAAGATTTGCCGCATATATTAAATAAGAGGAGAGCAGAGTTTGTTTGTGTTACAACATCATTTCTTCAGGAACAGAGTGAGTGAAGTGTGAACTCCAGCTTATCACAATTCACATCTTGAGTCTCTTTTCTGTACGAAAATCAGGCCATGCACTACTAACCGGATGGAGGGTGTTGGATAAAAATTCAAACAATCCATTAAATTTTGCAGAACGCACAAGAACTTAGCAAGATAATTCCTAGTCTCTTGATAATAAATATTGCAGATATTGTATGATTACCCAGCAGTAGCTACTAACAGGGTGTTCAATCAAATAACTATATGTGCAGCTATGTTCATCAATGAAAATCAATAATGTTGATGAATACACATTCTTTGCAAAGGGAATACCAATTGGCCAAACTAATTCTGTTCTCAAAGGGGTGCCAAAGTCTGAATAAAAGTGCAAAACAGGGTGAGTTTTCCACAATTGTATGAAATGGTGAAAATAGTTTTCCTGAATGGGGGGTTAGTGGCGATTACTTGCCAATTTTACTTTCCCCAAAACCGGCATCTTCCATGAGCCAAGTCCCTTCCTCGCATGATATTAATGTTGAATCGAATTCTCCATAATCAAGACACAAAACTGTGGGCTGTCAGATTCAACTTCCTTCAAAAACTCGAAGCCGTAAACGCAAGCACATCCTTTACCGTATCCTATCGCAGTGTTGTACAATTTTTTATGTAGGAACTTCCAACCTTTGCCACCTAAAAGAGTTTGGTAAAACTTCTACTCCTAAATTATGGTGCTCAGCCAAACAACACTTCAGGTTTGCTTTGCGTGGCAACTCATCCTTTAAGTGATGCAGTATGTCAACATCATGTAGTTATGTGCATCATCGTGAAAGGAAGAACCTTAAGTGGCGCGCTCTTACCAGATGTGCTTACAAAGGTCAGAAACATAAAACACATGTCATATATAAATAAGAGATTCTTTTAGGCTACCTTCCCATCATATTCCTGGCGACGAAGAACTTCCGGTGCAATGTATGCCGGCGTCCCCACCGCAGATTTGGGCCTTGAATGTAGTACTGAAGACTGTCACAAAATGGCGAAGAGTTCATTTTTTAACAGCAAACAACAAATAGTTATTCTTACGCAAACTTACAGACACATGACAGCAGGATTTACAAGGCGTGGACCACCCACTCCACTCTTATGAGAATTGGCAACCAACCTTGGAGTACCCAAAATCGCATATCTTGAGCCGGGGAGCCGGGCTACCATCCAGGAGAACATTCTCCAGCTTCAAATCTCTATGGCATATTTGCTGGCAAGCAGTAAAGTGATTGCAACATTTAGCATATTTTCAGGCCCACTCACATTTATTTGAAAAATCACGCTGGCACTTTCTACTCAGGGGAATGATGTGAACTGTAACTTGCTTGTTGTCCAGCTAATATAAGAGAGTAATTTATTGCTTCTGCATACCATGTGATGGCAGTAGCTTACGCCGCAGATCAGCTGCTGGAAGAAATATCTGGCCTGCAGTAATAAGCAGAGGAAAGAAAGAAAAAAACACAAAACAGTAAATTGACTCTGGATTTCGTACTTCTGCTGAGGAAAGAAGACCAAGACGATGGTTGTAAATTGTGACCTCGTCCTCGCTAAACCGGCCGCGATCGACGATTCGATCAAAGAGCTCGCCACCCGCCGCGTACTCCATCACGATTGCAAGGTGTGTCGGTGTCAGGATCACCTGTCGAAAAATTTCCAATGTAAGCACCCGCGATTTTCACTTTGAAATAGGAAACGAAACACCATGGTGCCAAACAAGTGCAGAAAAACTTCAGACTCGGAAATTCCCAATAAGTTACATATCCACGCCACGCGCCCGTCCAAACTCTAATAAAGCATGTGAAAACACATTCACTACACGTCACCGGAGGAGGAAATGTTTCCCTACAGAACAGCCAATTAAACCCAAGAGGACAAACACAATGAATAACCGATTTTTTTACAGCTGGTCGCTCCGTTTCCGGATGAGAAGGCGCACCTCTATGAACTGGATGATGTTGGGGTGCCGGAGCGAGCGGTGGTTGACGATCTCCCGGTACACATTCTCGTCAATCTGCGGCCAGGCATCAGATATTCAGACCCAATTTGGAGCGCGCAGAAGGAACCACGGACAGGAGAGCAACACAAATCGATATAAAAAAAATGAGGAGCGGAGGAGCCCGACCCGGTGGCCGCGCTCGATGAGCTTGACGGCGACGAGCCCGTCGTTCTCGCGGTGGCGCATCAGCCGGGCCACCCCGAAGTTTCCCGACCCGATGTCCCGCACCTCCTCGTACTTGTCCATCCCGGTGAGGGGCGCGGCTGTAGCCGTCGGCGTCGTCATCGCCGCCGGTGCGGGGAGCCGAGGAGGCGAGGAGGGGCGGGGGACGGCGGGGCAGCTCGACGAATCGACCGGCGGGTAACAGGTGGCGGTGTGGTCTGTGGCGCCTGCGTCGCTTTCCGGCCTGGCGCTCGCTCTGTGCGTCTCGTGCGTGCGCTCGCCGGGTATATATAGACGCGCGTCGTGTGCGCGTCCGACTGTACCCGAGATTCCGAGACTGGCTGTGACCTGTGACTGTATCCGTACCGTATTCCTTTCAAGATTTTTATAGTTTGTGTTTCAACAATCCTTTTCCTGCTGCAGCTCCGCAAAAAGGCTTCAACAGTAGACTGCAGATGGTTCGAGAAGATGATATAATGTTATCCCGGCTTATAGTAGTCTTTATTTTTAAAGACTTGCTAATCCTAAGTTGCGTGAAACTAATTTTTGGATCAGTCGATTCCTCGATGCATGCCCGAACCCTATCATGTGAGGACGCGGCGTTGCACGCGAAGGGGAGGCGTAGGTTTGACATGTGTGGATGGGGGTGCTTGCCAACGTCGGAGAAGGGGGCTTTAGAGGGATGGCCGGAATCTCTATTCCTAATGAAGCAGTTGGTAGTCTCGCTTCCAGGTTTTTTTTCGTCCCACCACTTTCGTCCGGTTTTTTTTTTGTAGGTTAACCGTCGTAGATTTTTTTCGATGATGGTTTCTTATTCACCGGTTTATTTATCCCTCGGCTCTTTCCTTGCAAATCAGGACTTTCCAAACGTGCACGCAATCACGGATCTAAATTTACTAACTTATCCAAATCAACCAATACCTTCCATTATTGCAAATTTCTTTAGGAAACAAATAATAGATTTTAAGGAAACAAATAAAAGATTTTAAAGACACATCATACTTTACTAATAATCACTAAAAATCAAATCTAAATTAATTAACCTTACCTTAAATTACTCAATCACTTTGATTAGAAAACATTTTCTTTCCTAACTGCACCTCGCTTAGTGTGCACATAACAATCCGAAGTAATTAGAGTCACATGATTGAATCCATTTATTTAGAGCGACATGATTGCGTTCCGGGATGGAGACCATGATTTCGTCGAGGTCGTTGCTGCCTCCTACACTCAGGGTGTGTCGCCGAGATCGAGGCGAGCATGAGGAGCTGTGGCCACCGCCATGGTCACCTCATCGCAGGGGATGGAGCACGCCGTCGGCCTACAGCTTGTGGAGATCAGCACTTTGCAAACGTGCACGCAATCACGGATTTAAATTTACTAACTTATCCAAATCAACCGATATCTTCCATTATTGCAAATTTCTTTAGGAAACAAATAATATATTTTAAGGAAAAAAATAAAAGATTTTAAAGACGCATCGTACTTTACTAACAATCATTAAAAATCAAATCTAAATTAATTAACCTTACCTTAAATCACTCAATCACTTTAATTAGAGAACATTTCTTTCCTAACTACACCCCGCTTAATGTGCACATAACAATCCGAAGTAATTAGAGTCACATGATTGAATCCATTTATTTAGAGCGACATGATTGCGTTCCGGGATGGAGGCCATGATTTCGTCGAGGTCGTTGCTGCCTCCTACACTCAGGGTGTGTCGCCGAGATCGAGGCGAGCATGAGGAGCTGTGGCCACCGCCATGGTCACCTCATCGCAGGGGATGGAGCACGTCGTCGGCCTACAGCTTGTGGAGATCAGCACTTTCCAAACGTGCACGCAATCACGGATTTAAATTTACTAACTTATCCAAATCAACCGATATCTTCCATTATTGCAAATTTCTTTAGGAAACAAATAATATATTTTAAGGAAAAAAATAAAAGATTTTAAAGACGCATCGTACTTTACTAACAATCACTAAAAATCAAATCTAAATTAATTAACCTTACCTTAAATCACTCAATCACTTTAATTAGAGAACATTTTCTTTCCTAACTGCACCCCGCTTAGTGTGCACATAACAATCCGAAGTAATTAGAGTCACATGATTGAATCCATTTATTTAGAGCGACATGATTGCGTTCCGGGATGGAGGCCATGATTTCGTCGAGGTCATTGCTGCCTCCTACACTTAGGGTGTGTCGCCAAGATCGAGGCGAGCATGAGGAGCTGTGGCCACCGCCATGGTCACCCCATCGCAGGGGATGGAGCACGCCGTCGGCCTACAGTTTGTGGAGATCACTGTTGCTCTTCAGGTCGCGTGGTGACCGGATCTTGCCGATGTGTCCCTCCCCGACGACCTCCTCTTCGCCCGGTTGGCCGGCATGGATCTTGCCACTACTGCCCTCAACTTCTCTGCCTCGAGCTCGACGGTCAGCCACCATGGATCCCCCAGCTGGAGGGTCACGTGAACCAGCCGTCCTCCCATGCTGCAGCGGCGAGAAGATGACATGGCTCTCCGTACACGAAGAGTGGAGTGTGGAGTTCGGTCAAGTACTTATATACTTGGCCTCTACTGCTGATCCATGTACATGGAGAAGAACAGACAACCGCTCATTCATGCTTTGTTTCACTCCTTTGCGCGACATTACTGGAGGTGACATTTTCCTATCTCTCTATATTGTAACAAGCCTGTTGCCTGCATAGTTAATGGATTTTTTATTTAAATTTATCGCTGCTTAGTGCTTTGTTGCAATTGTTCACGCAAGATTCTTATATATAATCTGAGCGTATGTAGGCATACTTAGCTTTGCTATTCCATTTTTTTGGCGCATAGAAATAAGAGTATTGTCCAGGTTAGGTATTCAATTGAGTATGGTATTTGGATTGCTATCGGAATGTCTTTTCTATGCATGTGATTTCTCACATCTGGTTATAATATTTATGAAGACATGCATTGCACGTGCACTTGGAAGCGGGCCCGTGGCCCGCGCTGGACGGCGCCGACGCCGACCCGAGCCACCTCGTCCGCGTATTCTTGGAGCTGTGGCTGGTCGATTTACATGAAATTAATTCCCTCAGTTCTGGTGACAAATATAATACACATAATCCATATTGTTATGCACTAGCGTGTATGTGTGAAATAGATGGATTATGGTCCCGTACCCAATAAGATGGATATGTGTGTGTGTTAGAGAGAGAGGGAGAGGGGGATAGAGAGTGAGGAAGACGGAGGGAGAGTGTGTGTCTGTGTGTGTGAGGATTTGATGGTAAAAAAGGTCGCCAATGTCGTAATATTGAACTCTTAAAGTTAATGTGGCCCCGTTGCAACGCACGGGCGTTCTTCTAGTGGCGATAGCATGGCGGAGGCGGCGGCTCAAGCAAGACGGAGCGGCGCACGACGGGCACACGCCGACCGCGGGAGGTGGTGGCAGGCGGTTTGAACTAGGTTGTAGGGTGGTTGGAGGAACTAGGTGGGAGGAAGAAGATGAACGGTGTGGTAAAAAAAATCGACTCGTTTGCATCTTTATTAGGCAAAATTGATGTTTAGGCGATCCATTAAAGTGTTGCAGTTTTACCTAAATAGTCAATTAAAAAGTAGAAGGCACTACTGCATTTAGAAATACAACAATCACATAGTTTTCTAGAGTATAATAATAGTGTTTCCCTCACTGACTTTGAAACGCAGATTGTTTCTTCAAATAATCCGATATTTTCAAGAAAATTGAGTCTATTTCCAATCCTAAAACTATGGTCATTGATCAGACGACTTGAACATTGGACTGTGCAATTGTCTGTATTAAACCCTTAACTTTTCAAAACCCATTTAAATTGGCCCCTCATCGAATTGTAGCTTTGCATTAAGGGTTTCAAATTGTGCCAAGGAAAATCATGGATGTAGAACTCAAGATATTATCCCCGCAAAAAAAAGAACTCAAGATATTATAATATAACAAATGAGTATAAGTGCAATGTGTGCATCAATGAGCAAATTTAAATAATTTATTTTTTATTTCATTATTTTTGTAATCCAGTTTGACAAAAGGTTAAAGAATACATGTAGATAGCTCGACGATATAATATAAAGTTATTCTTGATTACTCCTCATTCTTATATTTAAAGAGTTGTTGCAATCACCTAAACAATCAGTAAAAAGTAGAATTTGCAAATAGCTTTATCACAGAATTTTCTAAAATATGATGGTGAATCTCCTTCTTGGCTTTGAAACACGGATCATTTCTTCAATCAAATGTTTTTTTCTAATAAACAAGTCCATTTTCAATCCCAAAACAGCGCCCCATGGTCCGATGACTTGAACCTTGAACTATGCAACTGCCTATATTCAATCTCCAACTTTTGAAAATCATTTAAATTGGACCCTAATCCCGTATAGATAATTGATTTGCATTTGGGTGTTCCAAATAATGTGAAAAATCACATATGCAAGTACTCAAGATATTTAATCTTTGGCATTTAATTAAGATACAGATATGCAAAACCATGAACAATTTTCTTTTTTTTTCTATAATGGATATTTATTGTTTTCTGCATGAATTCCCATTTCTCAATTTTGTGGATTCCTTATGTTTATGTTTTTCCTAAACATTTACTTTTCAGAAGACTTTACTTAAAATTTCAGGGTGCAAACCCACCCTGAACAGACATACTAGTGCCCCTTTGGTACACATGATTTCTCAAACAACAAAAATAGGAATAAAATGCAGGATTTAGGTGTCTTTGATTCGGGGAATTCTCAAAATGCAGGACATGTCCTATAAAAAATCCTTTAGGGTTGGAATACCGCATAAATTTAGATCAAGAGTGTTTGATACCACATAAAAAAAAAGGAATTGAACAGAGTGACTTGAGTGAATGGAAATCCCCCCCCCCTCCCAAGTTGTGTCCAAAGCGGCCCTTAGAAAGTTTTTCTAAGGATTACATTCATGTGAATCAACAACCTACATAGGACAGATTCCCAAGGACCGAAATCCTTAAAAAAAATGCATGGAATTCCTTTGAATAAAGTGAGCCCTTACAATGTTGTGACCACACGAAATCCTACAAGATTGCATTTGCATCGAGGATTGTTTGATTGCACCACTAAAAATGAAAGGATT